GTTTATTTTCCCTCGGGTGTTGCTGTAAGCTATTGGTTTTAACAAATAAGTTGGAAGCATTATCATTTATGAACCAGTGCTCCGTGCCTCCTGGAAGGAAGTAAAAACACACAGCGAGAGAGAGAGAGATCCACAAACAGCCATTCCTGACAAGTCAAATAGACCACTTCAATCCTCAGTGAATTCTCTGCGCAAGGGGCTTTCCCAGTTTTTCCTTCTATCCATGACATTAGTGTTTGTTTGTCTGGCAGTGTCTGTCTACATGCGTGTATAATGGGAGTTTTATAAGGGGTTAGTATTTTAACTTGTAAATTGTAGATGTCCACAGATCCCTGAAGGCAGCAGGACAGGTTAAGACAGTAGTTAACACGTCAGTTATAGCATAGATTATAAGAGCAGGGAGGTCATGTTGGAGCTGTACAGAACTGTACACTGCTGGAGTATTGTGTGCCATTCTAATTATCGCATTGTAGAAAAGAGGTGATTACACTGGAGGAAATGCAAACGAGATTCATCAGGATGTCATAGGATTCAGTGTGAAGAGAGGTTGGATAAGCTTGGGTCGTTTTCTTCAGAGCAGGGACTTTATTGATGTGAATATGATTATGAGGGGCTTGGAAAGGGTGGATAGGAAGTGGCTGTTCCCTTTAGTCAAAGGCCTGTAATGAGAAGGGCATAATTTTAAGCCAAAATACAGTAGGGTGGCACAATGGCTCAGTGGTTAGCATAGTTTCCTCACAGAACTGTGGACCCAGATTCGATTCCAGCCTTGCATGACTATCTGGTAGAATTTGCACATTCCCCCTGTGTCTGTGTTAGTTTCCACCGGGTGCTCTGGTTTCCTCCCACAGTTCAATGATGTGTAGGATAGGCCATGTTGAATTGCCCCATAGTGTCCAGGGATGTGCAGGTTAGATTAATTAGCCATGGTAAATGTGGAGTAACGGGGATAGGTTGGGCAGCTGGGTCTGGGTGGGATATTCTTAGGTTGGGGGAGTGGGGCATCAGTGCAGATTCAGTGTGCCATATGGCCTCTTTCTGCACTGTGGGGATTCTGAGTTTTAGAGGGAATTTGAGGAAAAACCTTTTCACCCAGAGGATGATGGGAGTCTAGAATGCCTGGGAGGGTAGTTGGGGTAGGTAAGCTCAACCTTTAAAAGGTACTTGAACAAACTCTAAATATGTTATAACATTCAGGGTTATGGGCCAAGTGATGGAACGTAGGATTAGTGTAGGTGTAGAGTACTCTTTTGTCAGTGCAGACTGAATGGGTCAAAGGACCTCTTCTATACTATATGATGCTATAATTGTATATCGATGGTTCACCCGTAGTTCTTAAGTATGGAAATCTAGTCTGTGCTTTCAAAAGAAATGGAAGTAGGAGTAGGCCGTTCGCCTCCTCAAGCTTGCTCTGCTTTTCAATGAGATCATGGCTGATCTACCCCAGGCCTCAACTCCTCTTTTAGAAGCATAGAAAATAGGTGCAGGAGTAGGCCATTCGACCCTTCGAGCCTGTGCACCATTCACTATAATCATGCAATTTCAGTATCCCACTTCCACTTTCTCTCCATACACTTTGATTCCTTAAACCTCAAGGGCCATGTCCAACTCTCTCTTGAATATAATTAATTAACTGGCCCCACCAGCTTTCTGTGGTAGAGAATTCCACAAGTTCATAATTGATTGAAGAAGTTCTTCCTCATGAATGGCTTAATTCTTATTTTTAGACTGTGACCTCCAGGTCTGAATGTCCGCAACTTCGGGAGGATTCTTCCCACGTCTAGTCTGTCCAGTCCGTCAGGATTATATATGTTTCTATGAGATCATGTCTCATTCTTCTAAATTCCAGTGAGTACAAGTCTAATCGATCCAGTCTTAATAAGTCAGCCCTGCCGTCCTGAGAATCAGTCTGGTGAAGCTTCGCTGGACTCCCTCAATAGTAAGAATGTCCTTCCTCTGACTAGAAGACCAAAACTGCACCCAGTACTCCAGGTGTGGCCTCAGCAAGACCCTGTATAACTGCAGCAAGGCATCCCCACTCCTATACTCCAATCCTCTCACTATGAAGGCCAGCTTGTCATTAGCTTTCCTCACCACCTCCTGCACCTGCATCCCAATCTTTAGTGACTGTTCCACCATGACACCCAGGTCTCATTGCACCTTGCCTTTTCCTAAACTGCCACTATTCAGAAAATCGGCCATCCTGTTTTTGCAACCATTAATCCACATCATATTGCATTTGCCAAATATTTGTCCACTCAACCAGCCTGTTCAAGTCACCCTCCAGCCTCGTGGCATCCTCCTCATAGCACACACACTGCCACCCAGCTTAGTGTCGTCTGCAAATTTGGGGATATTGCTTTCAATTTCTTCATCCAAATCATTAATGTATGTTGCGCTGGCTCAGTAGAGCCATCAACTCCCTGATATTTCAAAAATCTATCTACTTCCTCTCTAAATACTTGAGGGATCTACCCTCTACAGCCTTCTGGGGTAGAGATTCCCAGATGCTCATCTTCCTCTGGGAGGAGAAATTCCTTTGTGTCTCAGTTTTACGTGAGTATCCCCTTATTATGTCCTCTTATTCTGTAACAATATTCTGTCAACCTGAATCTAAAAGACAGATCAGTTTGAGATATTTGCACAATATATAAAATCTTTAAAGTTTGTGGTGACTCTGGGAAGACCGAGCCTTGATTTCCAGTCCAGTGAGATATGATAAAGTTTGAGAGCTCATCGGGATTGATTTTGAAACAGACAACAAGGATTTGAGTGTGGTATTAGTAAGTAATACAGGTGAAGAAAAATACAGGGTCTGTACAGCATTTTAAACCTAGCACTGGAAATAGCAAAGGATTTCTGCAAGTTGTAGAGTTTTCCCTGGCAGTCTTAAGGGAACTTTCAAAACTCAGGTTGATTCAGTGGGCAGGTAAACTGGAGTTGACATTGCCTGACAGACCTACGAAGGCAGATACAATTGAGGTATTAGCATAGCACTTAGGTTTAAGGGAATACGAGAGAGAACCAGGTACTTCAGGTAGCAGGGAATGAAACACGCTCAAAGAGGAGGAGAGATAGGCGACCAGTTGGTCCTCACAAAACATAGTCTCCGCAAACTCTGTGGGCAAGGACTGCTTTCCAAGACTTTTCCCCCACTCATAACTTCAGCATGTCCATGTTTGCCTCTCTGACTGTGCATGTGTGTAGTGAGAGTTTTATAAAGGGGTTAGAGGTCAACACTTCATGATTGTTTATCTGGAGCCAGAATCTATTTAATTGTAGTAAATAGTAATCTTTGTAAGTACAGAAACCTGGTCCATGCTTTCTGTCAACCTGCATCTAAAAGACAGGGAAACCGGGGACAGAAACAGAATGCTGGAGAGACTCAGCAGGTCTGGCAACACCTGTGGAGAGAAGAACAGTTAACATTTTTGAGTCCCATAACACTTCTTCAGAATGGACTCAAAACATTAACATTGTTTCTCTCTCCATAGAGGCTGCCAGACCTGCAGAGTTTCTTGTTTTTGTTCACTTTGTTTTTGTTTCAGATCTCAGCATCCACAGTTGTTTGTTTTATTTTGGAGGTAACTTGGGGAGTTTTATGTATTCTTTAACTTTTGTGACGTTTTAAACTTTGAGTGAGGCCTCCTGCTGCTTCTGGAATCCTGTTCTCCTTCATTCAGGCTCAGACCCAGCATGATAGCAGCAGTGGAATCAGCCAGAACAACTGTTCCATCTCCTCCAAAAACGAGTCCCACTTTTAATGCTCCTCCTGATCATGGATTCTGTCTCTCGAGAAGCAGCAACTTTGGGAGAGACGGAACCTGTGATTGGAGAAAGAAGAACCACAAATTTGGGAGAGACAGAATCTGTAATTGGAGGAGCAACTCCTCGGATCTTGTGGCTACCAAACATGGGCGAGTTTTCTCTCTTTTGTCACCACCCTGATTAACTTTTCATGAGCTTTTTGGGGATTTAGAGGGCAAATTTTCCTGCTGTCCTTTTGTATTTTTAACTCTGCTGCTTACAAATCACTTGGATTTCTGATCACTCTGCATTGTTTAAGCTGAAGTAAATACTGTCCCCTTATTAGGAGAGCTTATGTAAGAACCAACTGCATACTTAGCACAACACTGGCAGATGTCAGAATCTGAAGTCTGAGTGCAGTAGCAGAAGCCAAGCCAACCAAGTATCCAGTGATAGAGTTGTAATAGATTCAGACCCGAGACTTCCTCCGCTAAGATAGGAGCAGAATAATAAGATGGAAAGAGCAGCAAGCTGAATTAATGCGTAACTTTGGAATTATGCTCCAGGTGTGACAGAAATTCTTCACAAAGGAGACTAAGAGACAAAGAAGTGGCAATATTAGAAAAAAAATGCCAGCTTATTCAAGAAAAAAAAATCGCAAAGGAATAACCCATGAATGTATTAAAGTCATTTCTAGGCTCTAAAGGGGAATAATATTTTCATTTCAATTCTTTCCTCCTCCTGAGTGCAAGATATGCATTAGGTGAGTATTCTGTTGGTCTTTACAACTCTCCTGTATTTTGTTCAAGAAGCCATTCCCTAAATATTAGCTTTAACAGTGAATGATTTTCTTCTTTTATGGATACTTAAGTCAATTTCAAAGTGAATTTAACTAATTAAACCATAGAGAATGTGGGCTAAACCTAACTTGCAAAGCTTTGTTTCAGAAAAACTGAAAGAACTGCGGATACTGTAAATCAGACATAAAAATAGAAATTGCTGGAAAAGCTTAGAAGGTCTAGCAGCCTCCATGAAGAGAAATCAGAGTTAATGTTTTGAGTGACCCTTCTGAGCTTTTCCGGTAATTTCTATTTTTGCCTTTGTATCAGGAAATGTATTTTATATGTGGACTGAGCTTTTGAGGAAACCCAAGGATACGATTTCTATAAACATTGTATGTGTTTGATAGGTTTGAGATTGGTGGGGGGGGGGAAGATAGAAAAAAATCTTAATTGTTTTGTCTTTTTTTACAGTTTCTCTATACACTTGCAATTGTGCTAATACTGGAATTGCTGGGTGGAGTTGTGGCATTGATCTTCAGGCATCAGGTAATAAAATCAACATTGCATCAAATATATATGAAGACAGGACTGGAATATCTCCTGCCACCACATGGTACCGGAAGTCAGTGACACTGACGTCATTGATGTGCACCTAGAACAGCAAATCAGCACCCACAGCTTTTACAACCTTGATATATACATTGTTTAAGTCAAATTTCTGGACTTTCGGACTTGTCCCCTCTGCAAAATGCAAAAGAACTGAATTATCAGGAGTAGTCAGTGGTGTTATAGTACTGTTAATGGAGACTATCATAAATACTCTGTTTAATGTTGGATCATAAGATAACTTATAGTAGGTCTTAATTCAATGTAACTTCATGTTTTTCATGACAACTTTTAAACTTGTTTGTCAGCCTTGACATACTGACAGCACACTCACCTCCAACTCAAGATCACAGAGATCATTTGGTGCCTACTCTAGGCTGATACTTGAGTGCAGCACTGAGATTGCTATACAGTCTAAGATGCCATTTTTCAGATGAGGCATTAAACCAAAGGCCCATCTACCCTGTGAGATGTGAAAGATTTCGTAGCACTGTTCAAAGAAGAGCTAGGGAGTTTTACTGTTACCTGGCCAAAATTGGCTTTGAGCCAACACTAATAAAAAGCAAACTAAGTAGTGAGTTTATCTCATTGCTGTTGGTGGAACATTCTTATGTTCGACATAATTACCATAGTTTAATACTTAAACATGGGCGTTGTTAAAAAGCAATTCAGTGGGTGTAGAGTGGTTTGGAATGTCCTGATGATATGAAAGTTGCTAAGCACATGCAAGATTTCATTATTTTCTGTGCGTGAACAGCTGCCACCCCTCCTGTCATTGAACTCACAAAGCAGATAAATATTTTAACTGTGGCAGATTAAGAAATGGAGATTTGCATCAGGTGCTACATTCATCTAAATTTATTACAAAGCATTGATAGATTTTTTTAATGCTGTTACTCAGGTATTCAAAGCCTGCTTTCTGATAGTCATAGAGTCATATAGCATGGAAACAGACCCTTCGCCCAATTCACCCATGCTGACCAAGTTCCTAAACTGAACTAGTCCCACTTGCCTATTTGGCTCATATCCCTTTAAAGCTTTCCTATTCATGTACCCATCCAAACGTCTTTTAAACGTTGTAATGCACCTGCATCTACAAATTCCTCTGGCAGTTCATTCCACATATAAACTGCCCTCTGTCTGAAAAAGTTGCCTCTCGGGTCCCTTTTAAATCTTTTTCCTCTCACCTTAAAAATATGCCCTCTATTTTGAATTCCCCCACCCTAGTGAAAAGACCTTTGCTATTCACCTTATTTATGCCCCTCATGATTTTGTAAACCTCTGTAATCTCCTACACTCCTGTGAAAAAACTCCCAGCCTATCCAGCCTCACCTCATAACTCAAACCCTTGAGTCCCAGCAACATTCTTGTAATTTTTTTCTGAACCCTCTCCAATTTAATAATATCCTTCCTAGGCCAGAACTGTACATGGTACTCCAAATGTGGCCTCACCAACGTCCGTACAACCTCATCATGATGTCCCAACGCCTGTACTTAGTGATGTCAGCGATAAAGGCAGGCATGCTAAATGCCTTCTTAACTACTCTACCTACCTGTGATGCAACTTTCAAAGAACTATGTACCTGAACCCATAGGTGTCCCTGTTTGACAACACTACTCAGGGTCCTCCCATTAACTGTATTAATCCTGCCCTTGTTTGTCTTACCAAAATAGAATACCTTGCATTTCTCCAAATTCAATTCCATCCACTGTTCCTCAGCCCATTGGCCCAATTGATCAAGATCCCTTTGTCATCTCAGATAAACTTCACTGTCCACTATACCACCAATTTTGGTGTCATCCACAATTTTTTTACTGTGGCCCCTAAATGCATTAGTGATTAATTCATAATCATTGCACAGTGACAAAATGATTGTCACAGACAGGGAAACAATTTCTGCATCTTCCAAAAGGCAAAGATTGGGGCAAATCTAAACAACAGTTATATCCAGACTCTTTGAATGAAGCATATGTCAAGCAGAAAGGCCTTAGTTGAGGCAATCCACTTAGGGGAAAGGTTGTTAGAGGAATTGGTGGACTAAATTGGGTACATTTGAATATGTTTAATTTTTTTCAGGATGATGGAGATTTTTAAATATATTTTTTAGATTTAGAATGTTATTTTTATAGGTATGAAGTGCAGTAGGTGGGTGTTATGCTGTTTTTCTTCCAGTGTCCCAACCATAGATTATTGCAGCTCTGATGTCATAGATTATTCTCCACAGAGAACTACACTTTCTATATTGTTGACAGTGTTTATCCTTGCCCTGAAACCTCAGTAAGATGTTAATAACGTGCTGTAGTAAAACAATAAAACTCATAACAAATCTGTTTTACACAACAGACTCCCTCAGGTTCCGCGAGATCACATCTTGTTTCTCAAAACTGGCAGAATATAACTCCAGAGTTGCAATAAATTTGCCTCGTATATTTTTGCATGAATAATGAACCAGTGAAAAATCAAACAACGATAATTTATGATGTTTTAAAAATTGTGCTTGTGTGCCCTTTCACTTTTTTCCCATTATAAATACCTACGTTGACATTTGGAAACGGTTAATGTAAACCAGACATACTCCATTTGCTCACATCTTTGCTTGATATTTTAAATTTATAAAAGTTTGATATGATCTTGGAATATACCAGAAGACTGGAGAAATGTCGTGGATGAATTCCAGTGTTTTAAAACCGTAACTAGACAAGGCTTGAAACCAATTCCTGCATATAATGCTGAAAGTTTATCTAGATTGGTAGGCAAGAATTGTCATGCACAGCGGTTCATGCAGGTAAAACTCTCTTGAGAATGGATAAGGATAGGAAAATCAAAATAATTTACAGTGAAAAGATTGCTTTTAAAAAAATGTGTGAAGCCTGTGATGTGGAGGATGTAGAGTGAGAAAAGGCAGAAATGTTCACAATTCTGTAGCACTGCCTTCATTCCTCCACCTTTCAACCTCCACACATCACTTTTGTACTGAAATGATTAACCACACCTTATGGGAACTACACATATTTTTCCTTGTTTTATTCTAACACATTCAGCCCTTTCATTATGTCATAATATGATTATCCCAGAATATGTGCAGAACTTGGCTTCGTTCCTGATGTGTGGGGGGTATGGTATATTCATCACATGGTCTATTTTACTTGTACATGAGAACAATCTGCTTTTTAATAAATTTGAAAATTTCACCAACATTTGAATGCAGCCTAACTGCTTGCAGCAAAATTGAGTGTAATATAACAAATGCAAATGACAATGTTACATTTTATACAGCACCTTATTACATCATTGGTATCCTCAAAACATTTCATACAGTAGGTTACAATCCAAATTCTAAAATTGCTCTTCTTCAAAAGCCTGTGCAGGCTGGGTTAAATACAAGAATGATTGTAGCATTTTCGTGATTTGTAGCACATTATTTGACTCTAACTGTGTGGCTTGTGATCAGTTTATACTGCATAATTATTGAGTCAAGGTTAATAAACTACATCTTCAGCTATCAGTACATTCAATCTGATTAGCTGTAGCCACTTTTATCAAGGTTTCACCTGTTGGTTTAATATTATGTTATTTATTTTCCAGACATTAGACTTTATAAATCAAAACATCCGTAAAGGCATTATACATTACTATGATGACCTGGATTTCAAGAACATAATGGATTTTGTTCAAGAGGAGGTTTGTCTTTCGACCTAACATTCTTTATTCACCCGATGTTGTATTGTTTTAATGAGTTTATGTTCAGGCCAAACTACAAACATGGCAGGTTGCATGGCATTTCATATTCCAGTTCAGATATATGAAGAGCCATGCACTCCATTAAATGGCAGAATATAACAGTCATACAGCACAGAAACAAACCCTTAGGTCCAACCAGTCCATGCCAAACACAATCCCAAACTAAACTAGCCCCACCTGCCTTCTCCTGGCCGATAGCCCTCCAAACTCTTCCTATTTAGTACTTACCCAAATGTCTTTTAACATAACTGTACCTGTATCCACCACTACTTCAGGAAGTTCATTCCACATGTGAGCCACCCTCTGTGTAAAAAAAATTGCCCCTCATTTCTTTTTTAAATCTCTCTCCTCTCACCTTAAAAATGTGTCCCCTGGTCTTGAAATCCCCCATTCTAAGGAAAACACAACTACCATTAACCCTATCTATACTCCTTATTATTTTATAAACTTCTGTAAGGTTCCCTCTCAACCTTCTACACTAACCAGCTACCAAGAGACATGACTAACTATCATTCATTTCAATACACGTGGACAAAAAGGGACACTGGGACAACGTAGCCATCCTTGGACAAGCCAACCAAACACACGCTCAAGAATTCCTGGAGGCCTGGCACTCAAACTGGAGCTCCATTAACAAACATATAGAGCTGGACCCCATATACCAACTATTAAGAAACAAATCCAAAAGTGATACCACCCACCCCAGCAAACTAAGACACATAAATTGCAAGCGGGACAGAACACTGACACTTCACTGGAGACACACTGATGATGTTACCTAATATGGTGACAAAACATCTGTAAATGATCTTATCAGCTCGGCAAGCAAGTCAACATCTGCTTCTGTGCTCTAGTGGAAATAAGTCCCAGGTATCCAGCCTTTCATTATAACTCAAACCTTCCATACCTGGCAACATACTGGTAAATCTTTTCTGAACCCCCTGTAGGTTAATAATATCCTTCTTATGACTGGGCAACCAGGTCTGGACGCAGTATTCCAGAAGAGACCTCACCAAAGTCCTGTACAACCTCAGCATGACTTCCCAACTCCTATACTCAAAGGACTAAGCAATGAAGGCAACCATGAATAGTCTATCTGTTTTCTTTATCGTTTTTACCACTGCAGGCTATCTTGACTCTCTGCTGTCCACCCAAACTCCCCTCATGGTTCTGTGAAAGCAGAGATTCTGAACAGTTCTCTCCCCCCAGGTTCTGTCCATTTCTTCTTAAAATCTATCATCTTCACTTTATTTTCAAGAAACTGACCCAAATTCCTCTGTGCTTGTAAACCACCACCCTGTCTCTCCCTCCTCTTCTGCTTCAAATACTTGAATGGAGTGTTGCCTTCCAAGTCCAATATGCCAATATTTTCTTGATGGTCAATCAGATTTCCTCCCATGCCACAGCACCTAAATGTCTCTTATCACCAAGACATTCTGTATGATTGTGACAAAGCTACACTATCCTTCCTCATCCTTCTCAATTTGTCTGCAGCAATTGACATAGCTACAGCATCATCCACTGTCATCCAGCTGAGTGGGACTACGCTCATTTGGTTCCATTCCTGTTTATCTAATTGTAGCCAGAAAAGCACTTGCAATAGCTTCTGTTCCTGCTCTGGTATCCCTTCAAGGTCAAGATTGCCCCACTCATATTACTGATCTAAAGTTGTCTGTTGGTAGAAAAAACTTCTGTTTTCAGGCTGATAAGTAGAATCCCTCTATGAAAAGCAATGTCCTGACAGACACTGTTTTTAAAAAAAAAAGATTTTTAATATTTTTGATAACCACTTTTAATGTCTTGGCTCCCAAATTAAAAGAAAACAATCCCCTCTTCTATCTCCGAGAAATTAAGAAATCAGCTGCACTAAATCTCCAACAGGAAGCTAAGCATTGAAGTATCACTAAAAATGATTGGTTCTATGTTCTTTGAGTAACCTAAGGATGGGAACTTAAGTACGCATTTTCACAGGTTTATTTTTTTTGAATGTTTTAATTGGTTTAAAATATTATTTAAATTAAAGTCTTTTGTCATAGCTTTGGTAAACTGCAAGGAGACAGCCATTATGAATGGCAGGGCCATGAAGAGGAAATGGGTTCTGATGATAAGGCAGTACTTAATGTGGCAGTCATTTGAAGATTTATTTCACATGATTACTTGGAATTGATGACAGACTCTGAGCAGCTCATTGAAATAATTAAGGTACTTTGTACCTCAAATACTCATGTTTTTTGATGAAGTCCTGAAGGACAGAATGTAGTTGATCGAGATTTGGGTAGCAGCAACATGAATGATCCAGATATATATTACAGAGCTATGATATTCAGTAACGAGTCATTGAAGTGGTAAAATGTTCTGGCATGTAATAAATTAAAGGATGGAACAATTATGGACAAAACTTCAGCAAGGCTTTTGACAGGGTTCCACATGGGAGACTGATAGGAAAGGTAAGAGCCTATGGGACCCAAGGAAATTTGGCAAATTGAATCCACAATTCGCTGAGTGACAGGAAGCATAGAGTGATTGAAGGGTGTTTTTCTGACTGGAAGTCTGTGTGCAGTGGGGTCCCACAGGGGTCAGTAGGGCTTTGCTGTTTGTAGTTTCTCTAAGTGATTTAGGCTTGAATATAAGACTGTTCATCAGTAAATCCCTTTGTGATACAAAAATGTAGTAAGGAGGATAGCCTTAAACTGAAAGAGGATATTGGATGTGGCCAGAACCAGGGATCGCAGTATGAGGATTCAGGGTACACGATTCAGGACGGAGATGAGGAGGCATTTCTTAACCCAAAGAATGGTGAGCCCATGGAATTCATTTACCACAGGAAGTAGATGATGCTAAAACATTGAATGTATTCAAGAGGTGACTAGATATAGCATTTAGCGTGAACGTGATCAAAGGTTATGGGGAGAAAGCAAGATTAGGCTATTGAGTTAGACAATCAGCCATGATCGTGAAGAATGGCAGAGCAGGCTCAAAGGGCCGAATGGCCGCTTCCTGTTCCTATCTTCTATGTGTCTAGTTGGGCTGGCCAGATGGGCTAATCAATGGCAAATAGAATTCAATCTGGAGGTGAAGTGATGCACTTGAGCAGGACCAGCAAGGGAATACATGATGAGCACTAGAACCCTGGGAAGCACTGAGGATCAGAGGGACTTTGGTGTGTATGTACACCAGTCATCATAGAGTATCAGGACAGGTGGATAAAGTGGATTTATAAAGTATACTTGTCTTTATTAGTCAAGGCATAGAGTTTAAGGGCAGGGAGGTCATGTTGAACTGTATAAAATGTTGGTTAGGCCACAGTTAAAGTATTGTGTGCAGCTCTAGAATCCACGTTATAGAGGGGATTTGAAAGCAGTAGAGAAGGTGCAGAGGAGTTTTGCCAGGATGTTGTCTGGGCTGGAGGGTCAGTTATGAAGAGAGTTTCAACAGACGGCAGTTGTTTTCCATTAGAGGAGATTGAGAGGGAATATGATTGAGATGGAGAAAATTATGAGTGCTTATATAGAATAGATAAGAAGAAACTTTCCCCTGGATGGACTGGGGACATAGATTTAAGATAAGGGGCAGAACATTTAGAGGAGATGTGAGGAAAAGCTTTTTCAGCCAGAGGCTTTTGGGAATCTGGTACTATCGGCCTGGTAAGACAGAAACCCTCATAACATCTAAGAATTATATAGATGTGCAGTTGTGATGCCAAGGCATACAAGGCCATAGGCCAGTTGCTGGAAATTTGGATTAGAATAGTTTTTGACAGGTGTGGACATGATAGGCCAAAGGGCCTTTTTCTGTGCTGTAAATTTCTATGACTGTGAAATGCAAGCCCAGCAGTGAATTAGAAACTAAGGCATAGACCTTTTTCCTTGACAGCAACCTTATTCATGAAGTCTTATAGATCTCTTGATAACGGACCCTGGTGACCCAGCTGTCCCATTTTTATGTGCTCAGTGGCAATTAAATAACAGCCATTATCTGCCTACCCATAGCCATATGATTGACATTAACAGTGGGACATGCCAGAGAAGCTTTGGGTAAATACACTTTTTATTTTGAATGCTTAGGACAAAGATCCATCTGCTTAAAACACAACTGACCAAAAACTGAACTGGTCCAGCTGTGCCTACAAGTGCAGGTCAGAGGCTGGGAATTCTGTACAGATTTTTGATGAGCTTTTGACTCCCCAAGCCTTTTGCCCAACTAAAGGCATAAGCCATTCAAAGATATCCATTCACTAACATGGTAGTTGCAGTGTGTAATCATCTAAAGGGAGCATTTTGGCAACTCTCCGTGGCTTCTTTCGAATCCAGTCCAGAAGGACAGTCTGCATGTGAATAGTACTTTTGCAAGTTGTCCTCCTCATCACACAGGCACTGCCTTGGAAGCATGTTTTTGTTCCTTCACTGTTGCTGGATCAAAGCCTAGAACTCCTTCCCTCACAGCACTGAAGGAGTAGCTTCATGTACTCTGCTGGAGATCAAAATAATACCAGAGATTGAACATTTGTGTTCGTGATGAAGAATCATACCGAATCTAAAACCACGTAAACTATCATATCATTGAATTTCATTCACAGGAAGCAAATGCATTTTTAAGAAACCTGTCCCTTTATAATTTCTTTCAATACATTCTTGGCAGTTTTGTCTCAATAGTGGAGTATATATGTTGATTGCTTAAAGACCGTCTATTCTGTCTACAAAGTCAGGGCAGTCATAAGGCTGAAGAAGACATGACAGTCTACCTGTTCAATATATAAAAGAAGCTGTTCAATGTTGTCAGCTTGTTTAAGTTTGCCAGTAGAATAACACCGATGTCTTTACTGAGTAAAACATCCAGTTCTAAATTGCAATTCATAATCGTTTCCCATTTATTTAGTAAATCTCAGCACGGACATATTTTTGGATTGGCATATAAACTGTCCTTTCTACTTCAAAAAAATTTCTTTTTCATACTGCATCAAATCTCACTGCAGTTTTGAGGAAAAATTCAGGAACATTTTGACCCTCTTACCTAAAAGTAGCCTGGTGATTAAAGAGACAGGTGGTGATCAGGTCATATTTCTACATCACCTTAACTAGGCCAAAATCAAAAAGGCTGCACTCTCTAACTATCAATGCACTACCACCCCCAATTCCCTCAAGAGGAGCAGGGCCTAATTTAATTGATAAAGTCACATCCCAATTGTGTGATCTGAACACAAATTTCAATTTAAGAAGACCTACTGAAAGGCAAAAGTCAGTGTTCTGGAGGAGGTCCAGAGAATTGGTTTGTCGCTTTCCTTTTTAGACGCTCTTTGTGAGACTTGAGGGAATTGTGTACCTGACTCCAAAAGGGTACCTTAAGTCTCTAGATTTTACCTCCCCATTCTGGTCATGCATAATCCTGAAACTAACATCTTGCTTTCCCAATTTCCCCATATCATCAATTCCTGCCTGACTTTAATTTGGGGCTGTCATCTCTGAGCACCCATTGTTCGCTGAAAGTCATTCAAGTTCCACTTCACCACAGATTTTTAAATTATATATTTCTCTTAGAGATATCCCACATTTTTATTTGGTGTAAATCCAAAGTTTGAAATGAACAGTTTCATGTGGATACGTGTAAAATGATATACAGTAGAAGAATAGAAACCTGATTAGAAGACTATGGGTCTACAACAGAGGCCTCATGTCTGTGGGAAGTGATGCAGGTGTTTGTAATTTTATAAGTTTTAAGTTTTTGTTAAAGTTTTAGCTTTTGCATCAAAATGTTATCCTTTTGAAGAATTGGAAGCCTCCTTGATTCATTTGGTTTACTTTGATTCTGATTTATGTTAAATCAAAACTTAGGAAAAGTGAAGTATTGTTGATAATTCAGTAAATTTGGTTATTTTGATTTACTCATTCTCCAGGGGACCAATATACATGATGCAAAGAGCTGAATGGATATGACTGGCCAAATAGGTGCTTTCTATGCTGCAACCATTCTGATTCTATTATAACACATAAGTTTTCAATACGTGGATTGAATGAAAACAGAATATTTTGGGTACTTGTACTTATGTGCGTTACACTATTTTCCGCCAAAAGATGCTGTTTACTGCATTTAATTAATCTGATCAATTGGTTGTGCCAGATTTGCAACTTGATCTGTTTTCTTTGTAGTTTAAATGCTGCGGTGCAGAGGATTTCACTGACTGGTCACTGAATATGTACCATAGTTGTGAAGGACGTGCAGCTGGACCACTTGCTTGTGGTGTGCCATACTCTTGTTGTAGACGCAATAAGGTATGACTTGCTGTTCTTTATCATAATCTCTAACTAATAGTATAATTTTTATTACCATTTCAATTATTGTAAGCATTTATATGTGATATATTGCATTTATTAACTGCAATGCAGTTGCAGTTTTACACAACATATTAATTGCAACTGCAATGAATTGATCCCTAGCCTGGTGATAATTATAATTTTCAGCACTTATTCATGACGACAGTTTCAGTCAATGCTAGAAGATAATAGGAAATTATCACTTGGATGGCCAGCTTCACCTGCAACTAAAATGTGATTACCCTTCGTCACTTGCAACGACTTTGAACGTGGGGAGCTAAGATTAAAGCATTTTTTTGCAGAAGGAGTAAAATAAAAGAGAGCGAGAACAATGTAAAGGACAGAGAAAGGAAAGTGAAAGTGGGGAGAAGATCAGCAATTAAGAGAAAAAGGAAGGAGTGAAGTGAGTATAGGCAATGAAGACAAGGAACAGAGGTGTTAGAAGGGGGAAGACATGAAAATGGAGAGAAAAAGAAAAGAATTTGGCTAGGGATAGGCTTAGGCAAAGGAAGAAAGTGGAAAAAGCAAGAAAGTAGAAGTGAGTGAAGGGGTGCATTGACTGGATGAAGAAGAGGGCATAAAGAGACTGGACAAGATAAGATGAGGAGAAGAGATAGATGAGAACGGAAGAAGGAATGGAGGATGATCGGCAGTATGAAATGCATTGGACAGAGTGAGCAGAATGATGTGGAGAGTGCGTAATGGAATAAAATAAGACAGGGAGATGAAGGATGAGAATGCAAAATTAAAGGAAGAGAGTGGGGGACAAAGAGAGAGGAAGAAGAAAAGAGGGTTACTAGGAGAGAACAGGAAATAGAGTTGAAATGGGAGGAATCAAGAAGAGAGCAAGATAATGGAAATGCATTGAGGTCATCTCAGGGAAGGAGTATAGCAGATAAGAGGACAGGAGTGCTAGCAAAGTATGTGGAGAGTAAAGGAATGGTGGAATAATGAATCCAGAAGGATAGACAACAAAACAGGAGACAGGAATGATGATGGGAAGGATGGGGGAAACAGGCATAAAACCAGAAACGTTCAGTGGCTTACACCAAAACAGTCATTCAATGGGATCATGACGTTGTATTGTTGATCTGAATGTAGGGGTTGAGTGCAATCTGTAAATTTGCAGATTTTTATAAAGATCGTTTGAACTATAAACAATGTGTAACTGTTCTGGCTGGATCTTAATATGTTGTGAGATTGAGTTTAAGACTGGCTAAATGTTTGGAAACCTGCGGTGTTGTGCATGTCGGCATCCTCTACATTCATATACTCTTCATGGAAAATAACTAAAGAAGCTGGAGAAAGGGAGATCTGGGTACTCTAGTGCACATGCTTAGAAGTGATTGCTAGAGCAAATAGTGTCATTGTGCATTTATAGGACAAGTGTCAGTTAGCTCAGCTGGCTGGAAGGCTGGTTTACATGCTGAGTGATGCCAACGGTGTCGGTTCAATTCCTGCACCAGCTGAGTTTACCACGAAAGACTTTCCTTGCCTGAGATGTGGTGACTCTCGGGTAAACCACCACCAGTTGTCTCTCTAATGAGAGAGCAGCCTTCTATAAAGTGTGCTGGTTTGTCCTTTTACAAGATCTAAGTCAAGCCTTTCTTGAGAAAACTGATCTTCTCAAAGGCAGGTGATTTTAAGACACTGGCAAGAGTGCAGGGGTGGCCCTTGAACTAATTCTTAGTATAAAGCATCTTTGTTCGAATCATTAGATAGTGAATGTATAGATGGAAAAAGAACAAAGGTGGAGATGGATGGAAATGACAATTTCATTGGACAAGTAATCCAGATACTTAGATTAATACTCTATATCTATACATTTAAATCCCACCATGCCACCATCTACAAAGCAGAAGTCAGGAGTGTGATGGAATACTTTGCACTTACCAGATGAGCCCAGGTCCAATGAAACTCCAGAAGCTCAACACAATCTGGGGCAAGGAAGACCACTTAAGTGGCGCCCTTCTACCATATTAAATATTCATTCCCTCCACCACTAGCGTGCAGTGTACCTCAAAAGTTTGACAGTTTACTTGCACTGAAGGCCCCTCTTAGCTGTTGTGGTAAGTGGGAAGTCACAGAATCACGGAATTGTTACAGTGCAGAAATTCATTCATCCATCGTGTCTACTCTAGCACTTCGAACATTTTATCTTCCTGCCAATCTCCTGCCATTTCCAGGCACATTGTTTGTATTTAAATAATCATCCAATGACCTCAAGAACCTGTCTTCATCTATCTCTTGCTCGCTTTCTCTCGCTCTCTCTCTCACAAACCCTTAGAATCGGGTCCCCTGATAGCTTCCTCTACGGTTCAAAATCTTCATGACTTTGAAAATGTTTATCAAACCTCCTCTAATCCTTTTCTCCAAGGAAAACAGTCCCAACTTCTCCAATCTTTTCTCATAATGAAGTATCTTCTCCCTGGAACGATTCTCGCAAACCTGTCCTGCAGTCTCTCCAATGCATTCACATCATTTCTTTTCTGTGGTGCCCAGAATTGTATGCAATTTTTCCAGCCAAGTTTACAACCAGTGTCTTATACAAAGTTCATTATAACATGCCCGATCTTGTACTCAATATCCCTATTAACCAAACATAGAACATAATATGCTTTATTAACAGCTCTCTGTTCCTGTCCTGCAACTTTTTATGACTTCTTGTTATTAATTCATGGAATGAGGGCATCGTTGGCTATGCCAGCATTTTATTACTCATCCATAATTGTCCAGAGAGCAGTTAAGAGTCAGCTACATTGCTGTGGGTCTGGATCAGTTAGGCCACATGTAGGCCAGACCAGGCAGTGATAGTAGTTTCCTTCCCTAAAGGACATTAGTGAACCAGATGGGTTTTTTCCGGCGCACGCGTCCAGGTCTCTTGGGTAAGGAAAACACTTCAGGATTGTACCCTTCATTTTATACTATCTCTCCATGTTCTTTATACTAATGTGGATTACCTCACACTTCTCCGCTATGAACGTCACCTGCCGTCAACTTGTCCACTGCACCAACCTATCAGTGTCCTTTTGAAGTTCTACACTAAGCAACTTTCATTATAGTTTTCAACTCTTCCAAGCTGATGTCTGCAAATTTTGAAGCTATCCCTTGCACACCAAAATCTAAATAATTTAAATATTTATAATCATAAAGCAAAAGTCTGTGTCCTGACCCCCAAGCATTCCTCCAGCCTGAAAGATGCCCATTAACAATTACTCTCTGCTGTCTATCCTTCAGCTAATTTTGTATTCACATTGCTAGTGATCCTTTTCTTCCATGACCGATAACTTTCATTATAATTCTTTTGTGTAGCATTCTGTTAAACTCCTTTTGGAAATGTACACTACATTGTAACAGGGCAGCACGGTGGCTCAGTGGTTAACACTGCTGCCTCACAGCACCAGATCCCGGGTTCGATTCCACCCTCAGGCGACTGTCTGTGTGGAGGTTGCATATTCTCCCCGTGTCTCTGTGCATTTCCTCCAGGTGCTCCAGTTTCCTCCCACAGTCCAAAGATGTGCAGGTTAGGTGGATTGGCCAGGCTAAATTGCCCGTAGTGCTCAGGGATGTGTAGATTAGGTGGGTTATGGGAATGGATCAGGGTGGGATGCTCTGAGGGTCCGTGTAGACTTGTTGGGCCAAAGCGCCTGTTTCCACACTGAAGGGATTCTATGAGATTTCTATGAGATCAATGGCCAGGCCTCATCAACCCTCTCCATTATCTGCTCAAAAACTCTCAAGTTAACTGGATATGAATTTTCCCCAGACAAATCCATGCTGATTCTTTGGAATCAATACATATTTTTCCACATGAGTATTAGTTCTATCCTAAATAATTGTTTCTAGAAATTCCACTACCACCAAAGTTAAACGGGCTGCCCTAAAATTGTGAGGTGATCTTTACAAACTTTGTCAAACAAGGTCATGATGTTTGCAATTCTTCAATCATTCAGCACCTGTCCCCAAATTCAGGGAGCATTGAAAAATAACTGCCAGTACCTCTGCAATTTCACTCTCACTTCCTTTATTATCCTTGGATACATTTGTCTAGTCCCAATACCTCATAAACCTATAGTAACAACAGGTAATCCAATACCAGCACTTACAGTTTTAAGCTGTTCTCGACACTAAGTTTCCTTCTCTGTCACCGTGGCCTAGGCCGACCGTATGAATAAGGAACATTCAGACTCTCAAATTTGATTTGCCATTCAATAAGGCCATAGCTGAACTGTTTGGAACCTCAAATTAACATGCATGCCTACCCCAATGACCTCGCTCTCCCTACCCACAACCATCACCAACACCACATTGTTTAACAAGAATCTATTTAACTCTACCTTAAAAGTATTCAAACTCTGCTTCCAACATCTTTTCAGGAAGAGTGTTGCAAAGACTCATGACCCTTCGAGAATTTGTTTTGCTTAATTTCTGTTTTAAATGGGTGGTCCTTTATTTTTAAGTAGCAACCTTCAGTTCTAGATTCTCCCGTAGGAGGATGCCGTCTCTTACCTTGTCAAGATCCCTCAGAATTTTAAACGTTTTAATCAAGTTATCTGTTACTGTTCTAAACTCGAGCAGGTGCAAGCCTAGCCTGTGCAGCCTTTCTTTGGAAAACAACCCCACCATCTGGGCTTCTGTCTGGTAGTCTGGTAAACCTTCTCAGAACTCCTTCTTTTGCATTTATGTTCTTTTTTGTTAAATAAGATTACCAATACTGTACACAATGCTCCTGATGTGGTCCAGTATCCTGTATACCTGAAGTGTTCTATTCCAGAAACTATTTGACCTTTCTCTAATAGAGTTTTTTTTCCCCAGTATTGTAGTTTTAAACTTGACAGTTAAATTTATAAAAACAGAATTGAAATGCATATTGTACCAAAATGATTCTGTGGTGCAGTAGTCACTGATTCAGGACTGTGACAATACTTTATGATCTTAGCGCTATTAAATTGTGTATC